GGAGACGGATGCAGTCTGAGGACAGGATAGCTTTTTGGTCAGAGCATTGGTAGAGGCAAGAACCCTCTAGTGGCTTGTTGCTTTGCTTCACTGATCTTCAGCTATAACCCCAGTATCTGTCTCTAGGTTTTTATTATTAATACCCCAAATAGAATTCGTGCTACAGTATGCAACAACTCTATCGAAGCTCACCCTATCTTTTCCTATGAATCTTCCATGGTCTTCTCCAATCTTTAGCTGTTCACCTATAACTGCCCTCCTCCCCAGCTCATCACATGACTCCTTTAATTCTTTCTTTGACCCCCCCCATAAACTCTTAGCTCCTCCCCATGTCTGCCTATACCCCCTTGTAAGTCTTCCGATAAAGATTTCTAACACATTTTCCCTAACCTTTAAAAAATTTAAAATCTTCCTTTATGTGATGGGTGTTTTGTCTATATGTACATCTGTGCACCAGATTGGAATGATTGATGGTTGTGAGCTGCTGTGGGGGTGTTGGGAGTAGAACCCTGGTCCTCTGCAAAAGCAGCCTGTGCTCTTAACCTCTCTGGCAGCCTCCCTCCCCTTCTGAGCTCCTTCCTGGTCCTTTTAGAATAGCTTCCCTGCAGTGACCCTTTTCTCCCTGTGAACACCGCTCTATCTACTTCCTTAGGGTACCCTGTCTGAAACCCCATTATTCCTCTTGTTCCTCCCTCATTGCCCCCCTCAAAAATTCCCAGCAGGTACCTGGAGCTGACATCCCTGGCCCAGGAAAGCTCTCAGCTACAAGCAGCTCAATAGGGATTACTATGGCAACCAGGCAGGACCTGCCTCCCAGGCTCAGATTTCTACTTCTATTGGATGCTTGCTATAATGGAAGTTTAGTCCTGGCTACTTACTGGTCAGCCTGAGAACTCTGGGTTCCACCTTGACAATAGGTATGTAAATACTTTCTCTTCAACTTCCTTGCTTACCTATAGGTCCCTTCTGAGCACCTTGAAGCTTGGAAAATGACATTTGAGGCAAGAGGGATGTGGGCCTGGGGGCCTCAGGGTGCATTGATTACACTTGAGTGTGTGTGTGTGTATTCCTGTGTGTGTATGTGTGTGTAGTCCTGTGTGTGTGTGTGTATTCCTATGTGTGTATGTATTCCTGTATGTGCGCATTTGTGTATTCCAAGGTGTATGTATTCCTATGTGTGTGTGTATTCCTGTGTGTGTGTGTGTGTGTGTGTGTGTGTGCATTCCTGTGTGGGTGTGTGCATACACTCAGGACAGGCTTGCCTTCAATCTGCTATGAAGCTGAAGGCAGACTTAAATATGTGATCTTCCTGCTGCAGGCTTAGTGCAGGCTAGGCAAGCACTCTCCACACAGAGCTACATCCCCAGCCTCAAGCTTTTATTTTTATTTTCACCAGGCAGGATCTCAGAAGAGCCCAGGATGGCTTTGCTTCAAACTCACTTGAAATCCCAGCTCTTGGGAGGCAGAGTCAGGTGGATCAGGAGTTCAAGGTCAGCGTTAGCTACTTAACAAGTTCAAGGTCAACTAGATTCCATGAGATACCCATCACAGAAAACAAATACAAAAGGGACTGGAAGAAAGATGGCCTAGTTGGTAGAGAGGTCCCCCCTCTTACCAGCCTTTGGAAAAGACTCAGAACCCACTATCTTTGTAAAGGTCTTTTCTTTATACTTGTGTATGGATGTGCATCCGTGTGTGTTTGTCTCTGACCCACAGTGTAAACCTCAGGTGCACGCCCCAATGCTCAGCATTTTTGTGGGTACTGGGATTTGAACTCAGGTCTTTACATGTGACCTCCAAACGTTCTAGCCACTGAGCCATCTCCCGATGTGCCCCCTCCTCCCTTGGTTTGTATGTTTGTTTTTTGGAGAAAGTCTTGGGTAGCCCAGGCTATGCTCCCACTTACTTTGTAGCTAAAGCTAGCCTTGAATCCTCTGGCTGCACAAAAGCCACGTGGAAAGAAAGCCAGGGTTGTGGTCTGTCTGTAACCTCAGCACCAGGGGACAGGGTAAGCGGATCCTGGGAGCTCACTGGGTCAGTCACAAGTTCCAGATTCACTGAAAGACTGTCTCCAAAAGCTAAGGTAGAGAACGATAAAGGAGGATGTTGACCCCTTACCTCCAAATACTCGCAGGCAGACACATACATGTACAATCCTGCTAACTACCAACAGGTGGCCCTGTTGCTCACCTACTGGTCAAATCACAGTAGACCGGCTTTCTTGTTTGGCACTCCTTAGCTGACTCAGGTTGTGTGATCTACAATTCTTCACAGTACAAAAGTCGGCAGACTCTGAAAAATTAATATTCACAGGTTTGCCTCCTCCTCATCTTCCCTCCTCTCTACCCCCCCCCCCCCAAGACGGGATTTCTCTGTTTAGCCCTGGGTATCCTGGAACTAATTCTGTAGACCAGGTTGGCTTTGAACTCAGAAATCCATATGCCTCTGCCTATGAGTGCTGGGATTAAAAGCATTTCCCCAGTGTCTAGCCTGATTTTATCTTTTTTTTTTTAAATTTACATGTATGAATGTGTGCTTGTATTTATGCCAATTGTGTGTCTGTCAATGGAGGCCAGAAGAGGCCATTTGATCTCCTGCAGTTGGAGTTATAGGCAGTTATGAGCCACCTTGACATGGCTGCTATGAACTAAACTCTGGTCCTCTGCAAAAGCAGGAAGTACTCATAAACATTATCGCTCTACCTACCTATCATCTATCTACCTATCTATCTATCTGATGGGGAAGTCCTATATATGTTTCTATTGTCAGTTGATGAATAAAACACTGTTGGCCAATAAGGCAGGAAGATAGGCGGGGCGAGGAGATGAGGAGAATTTTGGGAAATGTAGGCACAGGGAGCCCACCAGAACAGTCACCACATAGGCCACCAAAGGATTAACAGGTCCAGACCCTTCTCTGGTAAGATAAGACCACACGGAAATACTTAGATCAATAGAAATGGGTTAATAATTAAGGCAGAGCCAGCCGATAAGAAGCCCTAGTCATTGGCCAACAGTTTAATAACTAATATAGCACCTGTGTGTTTATTTGGGGCTAATGGCTGCAGGACCAGGCTGGGACAGAAAACTTTCAGTAACACCTACCTATCTATCATCTACCTACATTCCTATCGTGTGTGTGTGTGTGTGTGTGTGTGTGTGTGTGTGTGTGTGTTCTGAGACAGTCTCTTAGACCTAGATAGCCCAGGCTGGCTTCAAACTTGACTTGCAGTTAGGAATGACCTTGAACTGACCTTGCTGAGTAAAGTATTACGAGTATGCACAACCACACTCTGTTTATGCAGTGCTGGGGATCAAACCCAGGACTTCATGCTTGGCCAGCTACATTTCCCAGCCCCATGAAATCCACTGTTATTCTTTGAAATATTCCCCTTTGTCTCTTTTTGATGTTGGAGTCTCAAACAACGAGAAAGCTTCCTGTTTTCTTGATGTTTTTTGTGTCTTCTGTTTGAGACCAGGTCTCATTTATATAGCGTGGGCTGGCCTTGAAATCTCTGTTCTTCTGCTTCTGCCTTCTGAATTTTGGGACTACAGAATTCTTACTGTTCTTGTTTTTGAGACAGGGTCTCACTATGCAGCTTTAGCTGTCCTGGAACTCACTATGTGTTCCTGGCTGGCCTCAAACTCACAGAGACCTGCTTGCCTCCTGATGGCTGGGCTTAAAGACGTGTGACACTATGCCCAGCCAAGCTTTCCATTTTCTTTTCCTGCTCTGAGACACCAGAAGGGTAGCATCTCAACTTGAAAGGGAAGTCATGAAGAGACTAAACATTCATTCAGATTTCTAAATGTACTCCCACCTTAGTAATTAGTATGTATGCTTTACAAAAAAAAGTTCAGGAAATCAGATATGCAAATTTTTCATTTTTTAAAATGTGTATGTTATGTGCAGCTCAGAAGACAACTTTTGAGATCCAGTTCTTACCTTTTACCTTGTTGAGGTAACATTTTTTTTTTTCTTTTAGAGATTTATTATATACAGTGTTCTGCCTGCATGTTTGTCTACAGGCCACAAGAGGGCACCAGATCTCATTACAGATGGTTGTGAGCCACCATGGGGTTGTTAGGAATTGAACTCAGGACCTTGGGAAGAGCAGACTGTGCTCTTAACCATTGAGCCATCTCTCCAGCCCCATCTTCCTTGTTTTTACCAGCCTGCAATGTACTCCAGGCTAGTTAGTCCACAAGCTTCCAGCCTGCCTCCACCTCCCATCTAACCCCAGGAGTGTTGGGCTTACCAATATGACCCATTGTATCCAGAACTCTATCAGTCAGCAAGTGCTTTTAAACACTTCTGCCTTGCCCAGTTTCAATGGCTGACGCCTTTAATACCAGCACTTGGGAGGTAGAGGCAGGCAGATCTCTGTGAGTTAGAGGCCAGCCTAGTCTACAGAGCAGGTTTCAGGACAATCTCCAAAGCTACATAGGGAAACCCTGTCTCGAAAACAATCAAAAGACACTTCAGCCATCTCTCCAGTCCCCAGGGAATGCAGGGTTACCAGTGTTGTGGTGGTAAGAGGATGAAAAATCCATTTTCATGGCTCTGGGTTTCACCTTTATAACATTGTTTATTGTTTCGTCAGGGTCTTGTGTGTTAGGGCTAGTCTTTAACTCACTGAGTAGCCCAGGCTGGCCTTGAACTTCTAATCCTCCTGTTGGTACTTTCCAAATTCTGGGATTATAGGGGAGTGCCATCATTATTGCAGCTTGATTTACTTGGGGTCTAAGCAAACACAGCCCCAGTGAAACCATTATTGACCAGAAAAGCATTTACAAACACAGGTGAAGCCAGAATATTCTTCCAATTTTATTGGGCTAAGAAATGCGGTTTTTTTGTTTTTTGTTTTTTTCTTCTCAGGAAAGAGAAGAGCTGCTCAGTGGCTTACACAGATTTAGGACTTGAGTGTGGCCCTCCAAGGTAGATGGAAACAGCTATGGAGGCCAAATGACAGTGAGCTGATGTCCTGTGGGCAGGTGGCCTCGGTGGGTTGCTTGTGTGTTCAGTTTCTTGGCTGGTGTGTTTCTTGGTTAAGAGATGTCAGAAGCTCTGAGTTTCTTCTTGGTGACTGGTCAACGTCTAATTGGACGTGTCTGTGGGGAGTGGGGCCCGTGCATGCTGGGTGTAGCTGTCATATAAGTAGGACATATGTGTAAATGATGGCTAAACCCGCCAAAATGCCGAATACGTCAATCCAAATAGTTCGAGACGAGTTTAAATAAGCGTCTTCCCAGTCACTGTCCTTATTGGCTTCGTTGGTCTGTAAGAGTGGGAGCATGGGTATGGGTTTCTGAGGCTAGAAGCTCTTGGAAGAAGGGTTGGAGCCCTCTGGGCACTGTGGGGAGAACCCGACCCGAGATAGGTAGTAAGCAGAGGACAGGATGAGCAGTGTCTGGGGAATACTTTTACCTTGCGGCTGAAGTAGAGGCCTATCAATCCAAAGGGTGGGAAAAGAATCACTGCACAGATCGTCATGATGAAATGATTCTGAGCATAAAACCCTAGTTCTTCAGTAGTCTGTGGACGGTTTAGTGGCTTCCTAATTTTGGGAGCGGGGCGTTCTGCAGGACCTGGGGCTACATCCATGATCTCTTCATGAAAAGAGAGACCCTAGCGGCTTGAAAACAGAGACTCAGACCCACCTCACTCCCTGGAGCTCTACCCAGAATCTTAAGAGCTGTTAGGGTCTAAGGCCATTCTTCACAATGGAGTTAAGAGCATCTCCAGTTCTGATTGGCTGCCCTCAAGAGGTGGGCGTGGTCCCACCGCTTTTAGGCACCTCAGGCCTTCGAGGGTGGGGCTAGGCCCTGTGATGGTAGTTCTTGTAACCCTCAAGAGTGGGTTGTGTGGAAGTCTGTCTCTGTCCTCTTCTGCAGTGCTGAGGATAGAGCAAGGCAGGCTCTAAAGAGCAGGTAGATAGATAAGTCTGTAAGAATGCTAGATTTAGCTGGGCGTTGTGGTGCACGTCTTTAATCACAGCACCTGGCAGACCAAGGCAGGTGAATCGCTGTAAGTTCAAGACCAGCCTACTCTACCCAGCAAGCTCCAGGACTACATGGTGAGATTCTATTTCAAAATAAGTAAAACGAGGGTCGGTTTGAGGCCAGCCTGGCCTACACAGTGAGTCCCAGGGCAGCCAGGGCTACACAGAGGAAACCCGGTCTTGATACCGCCCCACCCCACCCCACCCAAAAAAAGTTGTGACTTCCTCAAGATCTGCATTAAAGGTGTGTGGTCTACCTCAAAGATTCAGATTAGAAGTAGATCTCCCTACTTCAAATTGAGCAAAAATAAAATCCCTCACAGGTGTGCCCCTCCATTTCGGGGTTTTAGTTAATTCCAGATGCAGTTAAGTTGACAACCCAGAATAACCATTGCACCGGGTTTCAGTTTCCAGACAGCAAAGACCACAGGGAGAAAAGAACAAGGCTGTCTTTCCAATTCAGCCGGCAGCTTCAGTTTTTCCATCATGGAGATAATCAAGTCTTCCCTTCCCCTTACTCCCGATGGGCTCATCAGAAAACTCTAAGGATGTGCCCAACCCTGGTCAGAAGACCTTCCTTCGAACTTTATCTCTAGGGGAAGATAGTTGGCTCCCTCCTGAGAGCGCCCACCAGCACTTTACCCACAGTGGGAATATGGGGCCCTGGAAAGTAGAAGTAGGAAAGAAGATGCAGAGGATTCAGAGCTGAAAAGAGAGACAGTAAGCTAAGTGTGGTGGTGCATGCTGGTACCCACAGGGCTGGAGGCAGCAGCATCTGAAGTTCAGCATCTTCTTGCTGTTATTTGGCTTTGGCACTATGGTGATGATGGCTTCATGCTGCATGTTGGAAGTGTTCTCCTTTTGCATTTGGAAGGAGTTTGTGAGGGCTGGGGAGTGTGTGTGTGTGTGTTCGTGCATGTACACACACATGTTTATGTTCATGTATGCATGAACAAATGGCACAGAGGCACGGCGAAAACAGAGGTAGGTGTCCAATGTCTTCCTTGGTCACTCACTGTCTTATTTTGTTTTTGGAGGTGGGGTTTCTCTGGGCTACCTTTGATCCCAGCACTCAGGAGGCAGAGTGAGTCCGATCTCTAAATTTGAGGCCAGCCTGGTCTACACAGCAAGTTTCAGGACAGCCATGGCTACACAGTGAAACCCTGTGTCAAATCTTCCCTCAAAATAATAGTAATCTTATTATTTCTACTAATTCTATTCCCCCCACCCCCAGGCAAGCTTTCCCTGGGTAGCCCTGGTTGTCCTGTAATTCACTCTGTAGACCAGGCTGGCCTTGAACTCACTGAGATCAGTCTGCCTCTGCTTCCCACCACCGCCCAGTTCCTGTTTTCAAAAAAGATTTATTTACTCATGTGTAAGAATTACATGCAGGGCCCCCAGGGACCAGAAGGGAGCGTAAGACCCCCTGAAACCAGACCACAGATGGTTGGCATGGGTGTTAGGAATTAAAAGGAGGCCCTCTGCAGGAACAGGAAGTGCTCTTAACCACTGAGCCATCCCTTTGTTGGGTCCCAGGGACACGAAAATAATGGGGGACAGACCACTGAAGTCTATCTACCAGAAACAAACTTTATTCCAGACACCCAGAGCAAACAGAGACTTCCAGCTCTCTGGGGTCATAGTCAGAGCTGGGACTTCTGACTCTGTGGCAACAGAAGGTTTGGAGTCTCTTTTTGTAGTGAGAGCCAAGCACCTGGAGTGTGTCAAGGAGCTGTTACAATTTTGAGGTTAGGCTTTTGGGGGAGAATTAAAGGAAGTTTTTACAACTGTGAGTTTAGGCCTAGAGTCACATTACCTTGTAAGATTTACAATTTTTGATTACAGGGTTAGTTTAAGGTATTTGCCAAAGCCCATGCTCTCGTGACACAGCGGCCTTCCCTGAAATTGGAAAAAATACAAGATAACACAAAGTAGAGAGAGGGTCACATAGAGGCAACAGCTAAAGGTTAAAGAAATAGGGGCTAGAGAGATGGCTCAGTGGTTAAGAGCACTGGCTGTTCTTCCAGAGGACCCGGGTTCAGTTCCCAGCACCCACATGGCAGCTCACAACTGTCTGTAGCTCCAGTTCTAGGGGATCTGACACCCTCACACAGATGTACATGCAGCCAAGACACCAGTGCACATAAAATAAAAAAATCAATACATTGAATGAAATAAGAATAAAAAAATGTAAAGGCATCTAAGGCCAGAGGGTCATGAAGAGGCAACAAGGCACGGGGGATGGCGTAGAAGCAAGTGTTACAGGGTACCCTTTGTTCTCAGTAGCTGTTGACTGTAAGGAAAGAGCAAGTCTTAAAAGTTAGCCTTTGTTCACAGTGGCTGTCAGCTCCAATTTCCCCAGAATATGTGTAGACTTACAAGTTTCGTATTTCTGGGCTCTTCACTTTCAGCCCCTCTCCCCTCCTCTCCCCTCCCCTCCTCTCCACTCCACTCCCCTCCTCTCCCCTCCTCTCCTCTCCTCTCCCCTCCTCTCCCCTCCCCTCTCCCCTCCCCTCTCCCCTCCCCTCCCCTCCTCTCCTCTCCTTTCCTTTCCTCTCCTCTTGGAGGCTGTCTTGGAACAAGCTCTGTAGACCAGGCTGGCCTCAAACTCAGAGATCTGCCTGCCTCTGCCTCCCGAGTGCTGGGATTAAAGGCATGCACCACCACCTGGCTCCTGTTCTAGTATTCTTACGGCTAGGCTCGTTGTCTCTCCATGTAAACAACGTCATTCACTCAGCCACAGGCTTGTGTATCATGTCCTTGAACCCTTGCCAAGTCTCTTTCTTAGATTGATGGGTGAACGCTTCCCACAATCCTAGTGGCTATTTCCGGTTCACTGCCTGGGTTAGGTGGAACTTGTCTCCTCTTCCCATATGTCCTTTCTCTCCTGGAAAGGTTTTGTTTTCCTTGCTCTCTCTTGGTTAACTTGGCTGATTTCTCACAGCTGACAGTTTCTTCTCTGCCTGAGTCCTAGTAGCGCCCAGACAGCAACAGCCGAGGATACAACCCCTAGCAGTCAACTCTGGAGTGCAGTGAGCATCCTACAAGATTCCTCCCAAATAACGAGCCAATCCAGAGTAGGTGGGGTGGAGGAGTTTAGGGGTTTTGAGTCTTAGAACTTGGGGCCAGTTAGAACTGGCCCAGTAGGAGCTGGGTGGTGGTGGTGGTGCACACCTTTAGTCCCAGCACTCAGGAGGCGGAAGCAGGTGGATCTCTGTGAGTTCGAGGCCAGCCTGGTCTACAAAGTGAGTTCCAGTACAACCAGGACTATGCACAGAGGAACCTTGTCTTGTAAAAGCAACACAAAACAAAACAAAGAGTAGGAGGGGCTTTGCCTCACCATGGTAACCACAGCAGGCAGAGAAAGTTCCCTTTGGCCAGGAAGAAAATGTCATTTAGAGGCTCCTTGTTTTTAGGTTCTAGGCATTTTCTGCCCAGAAAGTGAGAAGACTTATAGGCCTGAAATCCCAGCTGAGGCAGGAGGATCATGAGTTTAAGGCTAGCCTAGGCTACAAAGTAAGACTCTGTCTCAAACAAAATAAAAGCAAAAATATCTCCCCAGAACTAAAGCCTTGAAGGCTGGAGCACTGAATCCTACATAGGACTCAGTTAATGACCCAAGGAGCCATCCAAGACCAGGACTTTGGCCAGGTGTGGTGGCACACACCTTTGATCCCAGCACTCAGGAGGTTATAGAAAGCTTTGCTAGGCAAAGTGTCTGGGCTGGCATCTCTGGTTCCTTAGTGTCTGTATCACCTCTGACCAGGACCTTCTGGCTTTCATTGTTTACATGGAGAAGTCAGATGTAATTCTGATAGATCTGACTTTATGTGTTACCTGACCTTTCTCCTTTGCAGGTCTTAATATTCTGTCTTTATACTGGATGTTTATTGCTTTGATTATCATGTGGCGAGGGGACTTCTTTTTGTGGTTCAGTCTATTTGGCGTTCTGTAAGCCGTGTCCTTCTTTAGGTTGGGAACGTTTTCCTCAATGATTTTGCTGAATATGTTTTCTGTGCCTTTGAGTTACACCTCTCCTTCTTCTATGTCTATTATTCTTAGGGTCAGTCTTTTCACGGTGCCCCGGATTTCCTGCATGTTTTGTGTGAAGGGTTTGTTACTTTTAAAGTTTTCTTTGACTGGTGAACCTATTCCTTCTATTGTATCTTCGCTGCCTGGGAGTCCCTGTCTCGTCGCTTGCATTCTGATGTTTATGCTGTGTTTGTAGTCCCTGATCGCTTACCCACATTTTCCACCCCTAGAGTTCCCTCACTTTGTGTTTTCTTTATTGCCTCTATTTCAGATTTCAAGTGTTTCCATCACTTGTTCGTTTGTTGTTTGTTTTCCTTTAAGGGATTTGTCAATTTCTTCCAAATTTTTGTTTGTCATTGCCTCCATTCCTTTAAGGGAAGTTTTCATTTCCTCTTTAAGGGCCTCAGTCGTCCCCGTAAAGGTATTTTTAGGCAGCTTTCTTCTGCTTCATCTGTGTTGGGAGGATGCTCAGGTCTTGTTGTTGTAGCACCACTAGTTTCTCTTTATATTGTTGAGTGTGTTCTTATCTTGTTGTCTACGAATCCCTTCCTCTAATTGGTATAGGTGGAGC